TGGTGCTGGGAGCCTATGAGAGGGTCTGTGTGTGGCGTCCACTCTGTCCCAGGCAGCTGCAGCTGGGTGGGGAAGCCCCTGGGTACTTTATTCTCTTGAGTGGGGGGCGTGGGGACCCCCGTGCACAGGATTAGTGTTAAGTTCACTCTTCAGTTCCTGGCGTCATTATCAACGGTGTATGTGAGGTCCCTCTCTTGGTGCTGTAATCCCTTTCGATGAGATTTCCCATGGCCATTCCTCCTCTTCCCACAGACACAATCATTCTGGAATGCTCGATGGCTGTCTTTTTTTTTTTTTTTTTTAATGCTCTAACAAAACATCATTGCTTTCTTGTGTATAGGCACTTTTAATTCACTTACACGGTATTATACTATTTCTTAATTCTGTTTTCTTTCTCAGCACTGTGTTTTAAGATGCAGTTTCCCCCTCTACATTCCTAAGGCCTATTGAGATTACCCAAAGAGCTTTTGTTTATGTGGGTTAAAACTATCGATACTTGGCACATTACAAATCGAAACATTTACCAATACTTATTGATTCATTTGCAAATAGCAGTGGTGAACATATTGCAAGTCAAGGTGAATAATATTTTAGCATTATTATGAAAATAGTTTTGACCCTGCTGACCCTCTTTGCCCTGTAGTAAAGTGTCCATTTGTTCCAGAATGCAAAAGGGCAGTAGGAACGATATAAAGTTTGGAAAGTGAATTTTATGTATATTGCTTTATAAAACCTGCATCTGAAGAGAAGCTATGATATATATTGTATTTTAGCAGAGTTTCCTCAGGTTTAATGGGCTTGCCTCCTTGTGGAAGGCTCTTCTAGATAGCAGAGATTCTGTGTCTTCTTACCAGAAGACTTTCTGGTGTTTTTTGTTGAATTTGTCATGTCCTAGAATAGGTGATTTTAAAACCTAGTAAAAACTCATCACTTATGAATGTGCCACATGTATATATGTATATAAATGGGCATTTCCTGTTTGTTTTACTTATTTTTGTAAAAGATTTTATTTATTCATGAGAGACATAGAGAGAGAGAGGCAGTGACACAGGCAGAGGGAGAAGCAGGCTCCACGCAGGGAGCCTGATGTGGGACTAGATCCCGGGATCACACCCTGAGCCAAAGGCAGACACTCAACCGCTGAGCCACCCAGGTGTCCCTATTTTACTTCTTTTATAATCCATGCCTGCATAGGCTTTTTTTTTTTTAAAGAAAATGAAGATGATATTCACCTATGGGTCAATGGTTTTTAGTATATTACTAGGTTGTGCAACCATCCCTACCTCTATCCAATTCTGCCTAATTCCAGATAGAATTAATTCCTAATTTATGAATTCCTAATTGTTGAGGCCCTAATTAATCCCCAGTTCCTAATTTCAAAATGACACCCTGTGCCCATGAGTGGTCACTCCCCCTTATGTAACCCCTGCCCCCATCCCCTGGCAACCATTACCTTCAGTCTCGAAGAATTTGCCTCTCATGGCCATTCAATACATGGAGTCACACAAAATGTGGCCCTTTTTGTTCTGGCCTCTTTTACTTCTTAGCATCACGTTTCTGAGGTTCACCCATTTGTAGCACGTGTCAGTACTTCATTGCATTTTATGGGCGACTAATCCCATTGTGTGGATATACTGTGTTTTGCTTACCCATCGTTGATGGACATTAGAATTGCTTCCACTCCTCGGCTATTATGAATAATGCTGCTGTGAACACTGCGTGCAAGTGTTTATGCGGATGGATGGCTTCTGAGATTCTCGGGTCTGTTTGCTTTAAAACGTTGGCACTTCATTACCTGAGTCACCAAGGGTGGTTTCTCAGGCACATCGATGTTAAACAAGTGTCCATGTCTCATCTGACAACCCTTGAGATTTCTGCCTTCCCAAATAATTTAATAGATAGAGGGGAAAAAAAAAAAGGGAACTTTTTAGGATGTCTCTTATACCTACGGTGATCTTTGAGATGTCCCAGGGGAGCCCTGGAACATCACAAAGATTTGTTTTTTGCTTCTTATTATAAGAGAGCTGCTAGAATTATTAGGTTTGATGTGTTATTGTTGTAAGATGTGCACAAGAGGAGTCAGATCAGAGGACACATTCTGTCTTCCTGAAGTTAAGCTTATATGCTTGAAAGGTTAATGTAAGTATTTTAGAAAGAGTGTGTGTGTGTTGATTGGGAAGTCCCTGGAGATTTGTCAGTGCCCTCACTGCACCTGTGTTTTTACAAACCTCAGGAGAAGCACTCATCTAAAGTCTTAGGAAATAGTTCTGTACTGTCCCCAGATGGAGACCTTTCCTCTCCCCCATTCTGGCAGTATTGGTGAGAGTCCTGGATGAACCACAGCTACTATGCAGGTTTTGTCATCTTACAGATGTTTTTGTTTAATGCTTCCCCAAGGCTCTGCTCTAAAGTTGCAGGCTGCAGTTTGTGTTTCAGTGACAAAGGACAGTGTTACAGCCTCATGAAAAATGACTGTACCAGGCACTTTGAACTATCCAGTCTTTAAAGAATATACTCTTGGGTGCAAGGCTTCTGAGCAGACATCACTTGAGCAACTCTCAGACTGTCCCTGTGGGCCATGTCAGGATTTCCAGGACTTTTCATTCCAGAAGCAAGACAGCCTCATGAAAACAGACTGCTAATCCAAGATCCAGTGGAACAAGAACCAGTTACACATGACTGCATGAAATGATGTGGGGATTTTATTGTGGTGAATAGTTTATTAGTTTATTTGTGGTAGTTTATTTGCTTAAACCACTGGTAGTGTTTTGTGGCTCTATTTTTGGTTTTATGGAGAAGCCTTTTTCTCTTCTTTGGCTCCCTGTAATCCACACAATTTAGTAGACTCTGCTTTTGGAAACGAATAAAGCATTTAAAAATGATGCTCAGTTTCTACTGGTGTGTAATGGTATCTCATTGTGGTTTTAATTTGCACTTTCCTAATGGCTAATGATGTAATCTTTTGTGTGTTTTTGTTTTTAAGTGGGCTTCGTACCCAGCATGGAGCTTGAACTCATGACCCTGAGATCAAGACCTGAGCTGGGATCAAGAGTTGGACTCTTAACCGACTGAGCCACCTGGGTGCCCCCATGATGTCAGTCTTTTATGTGTGTGTTTGCCATTCATATACACTTTTCAGTGTCTTCCCTGCCTCTGCCAGGGGGTTAGTGTGTGCAGGTCATCCCCTGGGCCTGGGCAGACAAAGTTGTCCCCTTGAGGTATCTGCCAGGTTCGGAGGACTCACACCCTGGAGGGAGGAGGCAGTGTGCCAGGTGGGCACCTTCTCTGAAAGGTGAGTAGGACTTACCAGATTGGGAACCCTTTGAGTCCCTGTGAGTCCTGAGGCAGCCACAGAACTCCCAGCTGGAAGTAGAGGAAGCATTTGGCATTCTGACCCTAGCAACCACAGTAGATCAGATCCCACAGCTGTCATTTAGTGACACTCTGGTGCCAGGCAGTATGCTGAGTGTGTGTGCAACTAGGGTTAACCCACACTCAAGAAAACAGGGAGATACAATCTTACCAACATTTCATAATGGGATGGGAACACAGATACTAATGTGTAGGTGGCCTGTGTACTCCTTTCTTATTGCTGCTGTCAACAGTTATCACACACTGTTTCCTTAGAGCAACACAGATGTATTATCTTACAGCGCTGGGGGTCCAAAGTCCAAAATGGGCTAAAGTCAAGCCTTCGTGGGCTTCTGCAGGCTCTAAGGGAGAATCTGTTCTCACTCTCTTCCTAGTTTCCATCCTGCTTCCATCCTGAAAGCCAGCAGTGCCTCTTACAGTTCCTCACTTTGACTTCTGCCTCCCTCTTTTCCATCTAAGGACCCTTGTGAATATTTCCAGCACCGGGGTGATCTTCCTAAAGTCAGCTGTTTAGTGACCTTAATTCCCCTCTGCCAGTTAAGATAACATGTTGGCTATGTCCTGACATCTTTGGGGGCTCATAATACTGGGGAGTTTTGGGTCACTGGGTGGAGAAGCAGGAAGGAACGGTGCCCCCAGGTTTGTGGGTTGTACAGGTGTGGGCAGGACCTGTAAAGGGCAAATTTGGCACCGTTGGGGACATCCACTCTGGCTGGGGGAGCAGCTGGAACACATACTGGGTCACATGCTCATGGTGCCACTCGTGGTGGTGGTGGTGGAATTTCTGCTGGGGAGGAGCTATGGGTGATAGGGTGCAGGGGGCTACAGTTTAGTTTATGGGCTATAGTGAGGATGCGCCTCATAGAGGAGGTTCTTCATCTGAAAATGGAATCTATTACATAGAATGGCTGTGGCATTAAAATGACGTGATGTCAAGATGCATCCTGTAGACAGTGAATGATAGCATTAAAAAAAAAAGTATTCTAGGATCTCAGCTCTGTGGACCCATAGGCCAGGCTGGCCCTCTGCTGTGGGGCATCTGGTGAGTGGTGAGGTAAATTACATTTTGAAGAGAAGAGGTCAAACTTGTGGTGGTCCAGAACTGGTGGAGGTGCCCTCTTCTTGGAGGACATCACCTGGTACCGCTGTTGTCACACCCAGTTGGTGTCCCTACTGGAGAGAGTGTGGACCCAATCTGTAGATCCCATCTGTGGGATCCGTACCTTCGTTCTGCCTCACACTGGCCACGAGATGTGGGGCTCCTTCTTAACCTCTTCAGTCTGGAGTTTCCTCGTCTGTACAGTGGAGGTGGTCACACCACCTCCCTGCAGGGAGTGAGAGAGACCTCTGGTCAACCGTTTAGCACAATACCTGGCGCTTAGCTTTCCGTGAACTGACGGCTGCTGTCATAACCTCAGAGATGTAGAAAGGAACATGGAGCAAAGGGACAGGTTGATGAAGAGACAGGCGGTGGGTGGCGAGCGGAAGCCCTACGTCCCCGCTTTTTGTGGTTGCCCCCAGCTGGGTGGACCCAGGGCCTCCCCCCACCCAGTAGAACAGGCCCTCTCCTTGTCCAGGGCTGCTAACTGCAGAGGGAAGCGCCCCACCTGACCAGAACTGGGTGAGCTTCCACGCGGACGTTTCCACTTTATTGTCTGTAAACTCTTTGGTAAACAAGGAGACGAGGAACCCACAGAGGAAGGAGCACGCGGAGCGAGGACAGAGGGCCGGCGCCCTCCGGGAACGGGAACTCAGGCGACAGCTGCGCCGTTACGGGGTGGTGGGGGACCTGGGGGCGTGGGTGGGTGGGAGCTGGCGGGGCGGGAGCAAGGGTCCGCTCCCGTGGGCGGAGAAGCCGAACTTACAGCGGACGAGCTCATGCAGCAGCCACGGGGGAAGCCCGCCCCGCCCCTCCCCTCCCCTCCCCTCCCCGCCCGGCCCGGCCCGGCCCGGCCCGGCCCGGCGGGGGTCCCTCGGCGCAGGGGGCGCCCGCGGGCCTGGGCCGCCGCCCTCCGTCTCTCCTCTCCTGCTCCGCGGGCGGGGTGCGCAGGCTGCAGGGGCGGGGCGGGGCGCTCAGGGGGGCCGGGGCCGGGGCAGGTGGCAGGGCAGCAGGGGCGGGGTGGGGGAGGTGCGGAAGCCGCCCCCGGCCCCCCTTTACATGGGGGGCTCGCTGCAGAGGACGATCTCCAGGTCCTTGCGGTAGAGCTTCCCGGCCTCGGCCAAGGACATGACGCTCTTCCTGTAGTTGGTGAGCTGCTGGATATTCATTTCCTAGGAGACACAGGGAGGGCGTCAGAGCCCCTCTCGGGATGGCTCCCCCGGGGCGGCCCATCCACTCATTCACAAACGCACCCGCCAGAACCTTCCTCTAATCCCGTCCCCGCAAACATGGGCTTTGGAGTCCGAGAGCCCTGCGTTAAGCCTCCCTTTCTGTCATCTGGCTGCATTGCTTTGGGGCAAGTATTCAACGTTTCTGAGTCTCAGCTGCCTCATCTGTGCGATGGGCACAGGCACAGCGGGGCCTCAGCGCGGTGTTGGGAGGGTTAGCTGACGGGATGACGGGGAATCCGCCTAGCGCGGCCCCTGACAACTACCATGCCCTCCCAAATCCCCAAATCGTCACTCTCTCTGCGGGACTCCTATCAAGTCCCCGCCTCCCTGGGCCTCTGGTACTCAGGGTGGGTCGGGTCCCTGGTGGGGTCCCGTGGGTGGGGAGCTCCCTGGTGGTGTCAGCAGGCCCAGACCATACTTCCCTAAACCCCACCCATGTCAGCAAGGAATTCTAACTCCTGCCTCCTCCAGCAGCGGAGCTCAACCTGCCTACTTCAGGGGCCACGAAGACAGGTGACCCACAGACATATGGCTGTTGTCTCATGTACAACGGAGGCCAACATTAAACAGTGTCAATACCTAATACGGCTTGTGTTGAATGCATGCTTTACAAGAATTGATCGGGATACAAATAAGCAACAGGTGTGAAATATAGTAAAGGCATCAACCATTTATACTTTTTCCTCTCCCTTTCTTCCTCTCTCCCTCGCTCACACACTCTCCCTCTTCCACCCCTTCCCTCCTCTCTACCTGTCTTGAAAATGTTGGCAATTTTTTTTTTTTTAGTACCTCCCCTTTCAGGCTGATGGTCTTTTCCCCCATTCAGCTAATGAGAAAAGTGACGTAAAAAGACTATGGTATTTGCTAAAGGACTAGACCAACTCTACAGCCACAAACGTCCTTAGTCTCCTGAGTCTCGAAGTCTATTTATCTGGTTCACCTGTCCTCAGGCACCTCCTTTTTGGTGCTCAAGGGTCAGCCTTTTATTGTGTTGTTTGACTGACTGCTGGTTTTGTGCCACCACCCACCCCAAAGGCACTCTACAGGCATCTCTAGCTTTGGGAAACATCTTCCCTAAAGTGAAGTCCCTGGACATAACACCTAGTCCATAATACTACCTACCATTCAAATTAGGAGCCAAGGGAGGGACCCCATATATTAACCTGGAGCTTGAAACTGCCCCTTGCCAGTGATTCATTGTGGCATCAAGAATCTTAGCAGCATGAAGGGAGAGGGCAGCTCACTTTTTACATCTAGAAGTTCTGCTCGAAGCTGGGGAAGGAGTTAGTGGGCTGCAGTTGCCTCAGGAGTGGTGAGAAATACTGAGGTTGGATCTCACCAGCCTGTCCCTCAGAAGCCTCAAACATGAATCTGCTCAGAATCTGGATCACAGACTTGGCACCATTCAAATGGAATGTGCATCTGCCGTGTGGATTCACAAAAAAGTGGCCTCTCTCTTCCCAGCACAGGAGCTGCTGCTATGGTCCTGTGGCTCCTGATCATGTTCTCCATCCCCAGGTGCCACATGCTGAGCTTTGTACAGGTGGAAGACTCCCAGGTAAACAGCTGTAGTTCCTTCTCTAACCTTCAGAGTTGGAGTTTGTAACCCCAACACCTGTTTTTGTTTTCACATCTGGAGTGAAACTGGCCACAGGACTTGTGTTTTGTGGTAATTAAGAAAGAGCCCAGGGGCACCTGGGTGGCTCAGTCCATTAAGCATCTGCCTTCTGCTCTGGTCATGATCTCAGGGTCCTGGGACCCAGCCCCATGTCATTGGGCTCCCCGCTCAGCAGAGAGTCTGCTTGTCCCTCTTCTTTTCCCTCTGTCCCTCCTGTCCTGCTTGTACTCTATCTCTCAATTTTTCTTTTAAAATATTTTATTTATTCATGAGAGACACACAGAGAGAGAGGCAGAGACACTGGCAGAGGGAGAAGCAGGCTCCATGCAGGGAGCCCGATGCAGGACTCAGTCCCGGGACTCCAGGATCAGGCCCCAGGCCGAAGGCAGGCACTAAACTTTTGAGCCACCCAGGGATCCCCTCTCTCAAAGAAATAAAATCTTAAAAAAAAAAAAAAAAAAAAAAAAAGCCCAGCGAGGCAATGAGCAGAAAATTCAGGTCACTCTAGATTTAATGCTTGCCTTCAGAGTTGAGCAGCCTCAGGTGTAGAACAGGGCCATATGGAGAATAATTATGCCTCATTAATATAATTAGAGTTAAAGATAATTTCCATTAGGATGCCCAATATCTCTTGGACTCATAAGGGTGCATAAATAATTTTCTCCTAGAATTTGGGGCCAGGAAAGAGTCTGCCGAGTTCAAATTTCTTGTGAAGATGTCCTTCTTCCTAAGAAGTATGTGCTCCCTTATAATTTATTCTCTGCCTCTTTCAAAAGCCACTTGTAGGTAGGTAACAAAATTAACGTAGGATTATAGAAATGAAGAATGATATTCAGGACAAAGAAACAGTCAGAAAGCAGCTAGAAGGGGAGACAGACTCAGAGGCTGCAGTGATTTTTTCCCCCTGAAATGGAGCAGTAAATTTAGCTCTTGCCTGGCAGCCAAGGCGGTTAGGCAACACAAGGGCTCATGGAGCGTTCATCATCTAATTAAAACAGCAAACCTGTTTGCTCAGAAAAAGGCATTTTCCAGGAGGTGAGGGAAGGTGGCTGCAAAGACAGTTGTCCGCTCGCGGTCCCCCTGCCACCCTCCGACCCTGGGACCCAGGATGAGCCCACTGCCACCTGCTGTCTGTCCTGGAAGCGACGCCACCAAGCAAAGTCATAGTTTAGCCCTCCGCCTTTGCTTTGAGGGGAACAAATGTTTCCGTGGCTCCTCAGCCTCTCGCTCACCTCTGGACTCTGCATTTAATCAATCTGGAATCCCTTCACCTCCACCCGGCCCCCTCTTTCCCCTATCTCTCCTGGTGGAAAAGGTCGTCTTTGATGGCAGCGTGGCTGACCCTGCCTGAACCTCGCCAGACAGGCTGCCGGTGCCTCATCAGAGATTCACTCAAAAGAGCCAACAGGTGGAAACACCCCAAGTAGCTGTTGATGGATGAACAGATAAAAAAGTGGTGAATGCAAACACTGGAATATTAGCCTTAAAAAGGAAGGAAATGCCGACACGTCTACAACATGGATGAACCCAGAGGACATTATGCTCCGGGAGGTAAGCCAGTCACAGAAGGACAAGTCTTGGATGATCCCATTTCTGTGAGGTACCCGGAGCAGTCAAATCAGAGACAAAGTCGAATGGTGGGGGCAAGGGGCTGGGGAAGGGGGGAATGGGGAGGGGCTGTTTAATGGGTGCAGAGTTCTAGTTTTGCACGGGGCAGAGAGTTCTGGATGTGGTGCTGGTGATCGCTGCACAACAATGTGGATGTATTAATACTGCTGAAGGATACACTTAAAAATGGTTAAGATGGTAAACTTTGGGTTACGTGTATTTTACTACAGTGAAAAGAAACATAAACCAATCACCCAAGCATCCAACCAGCAACAAAAAGTGACAGCCCCCAAGCTGCCATTGCCTAGTAACAGGTGATGAGAGGAGAGCAAAATGCACCCCACATCCCCCCCCCCCCCCCCGCAGGATCCTGTCTCCTGCCCAAGGACCACCTGCCCAGGCGTCTCAGCTGCTTACCTTCTTGTTTTTCTCATACAGATCCTTCAGAAGGGCATCCAGCTCATTCTCATCAATATAGCCACTGCCGTCCTGGTGGGGGCAGCAGAGGCAGCGCAGAGCTCCAGTACTCACGCCCCCCACCCTCTCCCCACCTTGCCTCCTAGTTCCCCCAGCTCATCCCAGGGAGCTTGCAGCCTGACCTCCCTTCCTGCTGCGCAAAGGCGTTCACACCGCACCGTGTCAAAATAACACCTAACTGCTGAATTTACCAGCCAAGGCAGGAACAGGACACTTGAGGGCAAATTTACGTCCCGAGGTTTTTCATTTGCATTGAAAATATAAATGGGGTTCAGGAAGCGTTTAGCTAACTCTCTAAGATGTCAGGACAGGCACAGGGGCTTATTTATAGTTTACCCCCACCCTTTAGTTATGAGGAAGACTACTGGGGGCAAGCGAAGGAGGGGTGATGGGCGGTAAGGAGAGCCTCTCCCTCCCAACGTCCTAGCAAAGCAGTTGGCTCCAGTGCAACATTATGACCTGGCTCAGAGGGCGCAGTACTGAGCACCTCCTGACTCCGATGGATGAGGGATGACGAAGTGGAGCCATCTGGGCCTGGGGGGCCCCCTGCTGACGTGACCCCTGCTTTTCCATCCCATGTTGTCCTCCCTCTTACCTTGTCGTAAAACGTGAAAATCGCGTTGAACTCCTCTGAGGTCAGCTTCATGCCCTGTAAGGCCCGAGGTATTAAAGAGAGAAGCAGAAACCCAGCAGAGTGTGTGTGTGTGTGTGTGTGTGTGTGTGCGCGCACATGCAAGTGTGTACACGAATGAGTACGAGTTTGTGCATGTGTGTGCACACATGGCATATGTGAGCGAGCACGTGTCTGCATGTGCATGTGTGCACAAGAGGGCGAGCGTATGTGTCTGCACGTCTGTATGTATATACAAATGAGCCAGCATTATGTGTCTGCATGTGTGGACGTGTGTGAGCGAGCGTGTCTGGGTGTGTGCACGTGTGCATGTATGTGAATGTGCATGTGTGTGCTGGAGGGCGGACAGGAGGGTGGTAGGGTGCTGTACATGGGGATGAGGGAAGGGAAGGAAAGCAGAGTGGCTCTTTTACCTGAAATTTAAGCAGGAAGTTTTCCTGTACAGGCAAGAGTCTGGAAAGAAAGTGTTAGAGCAGAGCTTAGGAGACAGGGCAGAGGCAAGAACAACGGGACGTAGGGGTGGGGGTGGGGTAGGCGGTGGAAGCGGCGCCCGTAGTTCTAGAAGCAGTCTCTGGGCATTAGGAATTAGAGGCAAGTTCTACAAGGAGGGACACGGACACACTGAGGTGCCCTCACTCTAGCTTGGTCTTGAGCTTCATGACACCCGAGCTGTCACTTTCCCCACTGACTGGTCTTAGAGCCAGGGAGGGTGGCACGGAGTGGTCTGCAGAGGTCCTGGGAAGAGTGACCCCAGGGGTGAGGTCGGGCACTTACCGGGACATCTCCGAGAGGCCCAGTTTGCCATCCCCGTTCAAGTCGAACATCCGCAGCTGTTGGGGACAGACAGAGGTGCTGGGTGATCGGCTCTGACCCTTCATGTGGCCCTGACCTGCCATCCCCTCGTTGGTGAGGAGGGGAGATGGTGGGTGTGTTCCTGCCTCCTCCGAGGTCACCCGGGGGCCAGAGGCCAGCATGGTCTAAACTGGTCCCTGCTCCTCTCTCCCCTTCTTGGGGCCCCAGAAGCACAGCAGGCCAGCACCCAAGGCCCACCCTCTCCAAGCCCATCCTCTCCCAGAGCTCTGGAGGTTGTCATGGAAACAGATGCTCCCAGTCTCACACTAGCTCAGCGAGGACCTCAGACAGAGGGTGTGTGGGGCCAGGGACTGGCATCTCTGCTGCCAGTTGCCACCGGGAGTCACTTCACTGGGGTCTGAAGACTCAGCCAACAAAAGACACTGCAAACCCAGAATCCCACTGGCTTGCTCCCCCTCCCCCCGTCCTGTGCGTCTGCAGTGGGGAGGGGCCCTTCAGCCCACTCACTATGGTTTGGGTGTATTCCTGGAGTTTGGGTTCATCGTATGGCCGGTTTGCCTTCTTCAGCAGGTCAGACAGAAATCCCTAGAATACAAAAGGTCTCCTCAGCTCTCCTGACTCAGCCGGCGCCCCCTATTCCTTCTCCATCAGTCACTAGTCAGCTTGTTTTCTGAGGTCTCCCACCTGGATGGTCGACATCCCTCATAATGTGCTAATCCCTAATGCTTGCAGAATGGCCACGAAGGCCTGGAGCTACCTCCTGGATGCAACTTCACCCCCTCAGAGAGCCCAGGACACAGCGCCCGGGGATCACTAGTTGCAGAGGAATGGAGGGGTAGGGGGGCAAGCCAGGAGGCCAGCCTGCTGGAACTGCCACGAAGGTGCCTGTCCTGGACACTCATTTGCAAAGGAGTATAGTTTGGCCCAGCTCCATGGTGGCCCTACAGTTCCACGTTACCGATTCACCCGGCCGTCCTGAACACGTCCCCGTTTCTGAGCCAGGCTTAAGTACTCCCAAGCAGCCCACCGACCCTGGTTCCTCATCCAACGCCTCCCCTCTCCCCGGGTTCCTTAAACCTACCAGCCCCCGGGCCTCAGTCCCATTCTCTGTGCCTTCCGTGCCGTCCCCAAGGCACATCCTACCTTGAGCTCGTTGGCTTCAATGTAGCCACTTCTGTCCGTGTCGTACTTTCGCCAAGCCTGCAACGGGAATGCCAACCTGTTTGCAAAGACCTGCCAACATGTCTGAGCTTCCTTCCTATTTCCTTTAGTGGACCAGACTGGGTCTTGATGTTCAAGAATATTACAGAGGGATTGGGACATGGAGATGGTCTAGCTCCATCCCTTCTGTGTCACATGAAGAAACGAAGGGAAGTGTCTTGGCCAAGGTCACATAGAGAAGGAAAAAACCTGCTGGGACAATGTCTCTCCACCCCCAACTGGCTACAAGCCGGGGTCTCTTTTTGGGTTGTTTTGTAACTAGGGTTATGGTTTTCTTTTCTCTTCTTTTTCTGGATAGGGTTATGGTTTTCTGAGGTGCTAACCAAGCAACTTCTAGCACTAGGGTCCAGTGGATCCGATTTTTGCTGTGGGCATGTAACGTGTTCTTTTACTGCTCTGGAAGCTTCTCATTCTCGGGGTGAGGGCTGGGAGCAAGGGTCAGAACCTTCTGGAAGGGGCAGAAACAGGCTTTGGTTGCTCTTTAGTGTATTCCCTCCTCCATCCCTCCAGTCATGGTGCACACGGCACCCATGTCTGAAGGGGAGCAGAGCTGGGAGTGTAGTCAGCCTGCTCAGACTATCTCAAGGCCAAAAGCATTCCTTTTTCCATCTTGTTTTGTTTTAAGGCACCCCCCACCATCCGTGCTCAGTCTAGAGAACCCCACTTCCCCAAATCTTTGATTTCTGCAGGTTCCTGGTCTTATTTCTTATATTTTCTTTCAAGTATTCGCCCCTTGACTTTTTGTCTCTTCTTCCCCAGCTCAGTGGACTGCGCAGTGGACACCAGTGACACCTGGTTTACTGAGAATCAGCAGGCATTAATTATTTTACCAAATTTGGATCCCCTGCCTCCCCTCCCCTCGCCATTTCATGTCTCCCTTTTGTTGTCAGGAGTGTGAGTTTATAGAGATCCTAGAATCTTTCTTCCACATCAGCAGACAAGACTGTTCTCCTGGTATAGTGGTGGCTCAGGAAATTTGGTAGAATTTTTTTTAATCCTGATCCTTAAAAAAGTTTTAAGATGTGAGCAAATCCCAACGAAAGGGTAGACTTATACCACAGATAATTTGGATAGGTGGTATTTGATTAGGGGACCATCTTTTCTCTGAGGAAAAAAAATGCTTTGGTTCCATCAAAATATTTCTTCCCAGGCCCAGAAAGCCTGCTTTTGAGAAAGTACTAATATGCGCAGGTTTACAGATACGACTTCACCAGCCACCTGCATATACTTAGTGCATTAGAATTTAGTTCATCTGGGACACCAGGGTGGCTCCGCGGTTGAGTGTCTGCCTTTGGCTCAGGCTGTGATCCCGGGGTTCTGGGATTGAGTCCCACACTGAGCTCCCCCTGCAGGAGCCTGCTTCTCCCTCTGCCTATGTCTTTGCTTCTCTGTGTCTTTCATAAATAAATAAATAAAATCTTAAAAAAAAATTAGTTCATATGAGTCCTGACAGGGAAAAAAGGCAGATACTCACTAAGTTGCCTAAAAGGAGGGCAACCCAAAGGGGCCCGAGTCCCCACTCAGGGCAAAGCATCACTTTGGTTTTTGCTTTTTTTCTGGAGAGATCCTCCCAGCTGGCTGACCTCCTCCCTCCCCGCCCCACCCCCGCCCCCACACTCTCCCCCTCACTTCTCTGCCCACCAGCACTTTGTGCTCAGCCTTCAGTGGGCCATTCTCTTCCCATTCAAGGAAAAGAGTTCAAGGGACCTGGGCTTTGTGAAATCTCAAAGAAATCCTGAGGCGTCACTAAAATTAGAAATTACAATGTTGTGCTCAGCAGTGGGATGGAGCTTTCTGACCGCACTAGCTTTTCAGGGCAGCAGAGGGACCAATTCATGTTTCCAGCTGATAAAAATGGAACAAATGGACAATCGGGGCGGGTGTGTGTGTGTGCTGTGGGATAGTGGGTCCCGGGAAACTTGGTGGGGGTGTTGGTTCAGCAGTTATACTGTGGATTAAAGGATAAAGACAGATAAAAATATAGAATCATGTCAATGACACAGAGAAACCTCTAATGACTTTGAGAGAAGGGGACAGAGACAGAGAAAGGTTTTTTTCTTTTTCTTTTTTTTTTTTTTTGCTTCTCTTTAAGCAATTCTGCTCCCCTGCAAACTACTGTTATCCCCATTTTCCAGATCAGAGGTGGAATAGTGGCCAAGCTTTCGCTGCCCATGGTCAGGGAGGGGGCCATCAGGCATAATGCTCCCTTTTGCTCTCTGACAAGTAGTCGCAGACTTTCCCCCAGATATGCAAGAGGAGGGCTAAGAATGTCAGAATGTCATTTACCAGCTTATGGAATCTTCCCATCTTGAAAAAACTGGAGAAAATCCTATAAAGCGCCATAAAATTCGATCCATATCTGATGCTTAGGCTAGCTGCCACCTAAAAACTGACTTCTCTGCCCAGAGACTCGGTTATTTCTAACCAACTTGCTACCCACGTGGGGAACTCCATGCCAGTGGGTTTCTGGGCTAACTCGCCATTAGTTTTAGGCAGTAAATCACGGAGAGGGGATTACCGGTGTCTGGGAGTGGATTTAACACGGGGAACGGCAACTCAAGTCAAGTTGAGAGCCAGTCAGCATCATAGCAGGCAGCGTGCGGGGGTATGGGTTGAGTTTCACTCTGAGGGACACATATATTGAATGACTAGGGTGCTGCGTCCAGAAAAATACCAAGAAATAATTGGTAGTTTGCTGGGTATCAGGATTAGTTGTGTACTTGGTGGAACCATTTGGGTTAACCAATCTTTGTAAATCAAAAATGGTCAAAGATCAGCAATTTCACATGGTTCAATCTAGTGGTTGAATATTACTTAAAAAAAACCCCACATGAGTTCGGATGTTTTATTTCACATGGGGATTTCAAAGCATTTCTGTTGCAAAGATCTCTTTTAAAGGGTGGCACTGCAGTCCAGACCACAGTGAAGAATCAGAACCGGAAGATACTGCAAATAGAATTCCCCCTGGGTCTTCTTCCAGCTTTGGAACGATACATAAATGCATGCTCCTTGGAAGCTTGACTTCAAGGGACACTAATGTTATTGAGAACAAAGTATGTGAAATCTTGAAGGCAAATGATGTGAAGCAGGTCTCTTCACTGCAGGATTTCTCAGAGACCCCAGGATACAAATGTCTATGACCAATTTTCAAAGGGGAGATAAGTGTGTACATGGAATTTCCCAAGTGTACTTGCCCACACTTACTTCTCACCATATTCTGCACACTTTGACACGCTCATGTCATTTGGGGGATCTTTTTGGAATCTAGATTCTGATTCAGTGGGTCAGGGACCCTGCATTTCTCACAAGCACTCGGTAGATGGCGATGCTGATGCCGCTGGTCCGTGGACCACACTCTGAGTAGTGGAGCTCTAAGGGGGAGGCGTTCGGGTGTGGGGGGGTGGTTAGCATCTCCCAGGGGACCATTCCCAGGCATTTGGGTGGCCCTGGCTCTGAACACGGGAGAAAGGCAGCGCCTTGGCCTCACCTCCATAAACTCGGTGCTGGAGCCCACGTGCTGCCTGAAGCACAGAAGGAAGTTCTCCTCGGTCGGCAGGATCTGCGCCAGCTGTGGGGGCCAGAGAGCGACAGATGTTACAGAGGGCCTTCCCAGGGAGCAGAGGAGACTGTCCTGGAGGGAGGATGGTAAATGGCCAGCGGCAAGGCAGCGGGGGATTCGCAATTTGCTTTTTCCCCCAGAATAGCCCTTCACAAGGGAGGAAGGATGTTCTGAGAAGTGCATCTGGGTCACCCCACATCTTAGGAGATGAGCAGCTGGAGGGACAGAAGGTGGTGCCACTTTAAAATACAAGTATCCAGGGCCACCGGGTGGCTCTGTTGGTTAAACGTGTTACACATCTGCCTTCAGCTCAGGTCATGATCCCAGGGTCCTGGGATGAGCCCCACGTCCAGCTCTGTGCTCTGTCCAGCAGGGAGCCTACTTCTCCTTCTATCTCTCCCCCTGCTGTTTTTTCTCTCATGTGTTCTCTCTCTCAAATAAATAAAATCTTAAAATAAAACGCATGTATCCAGTCATGTGTTCTCATGACTCTCATGTGTTCTCTCATGTGTTCTCTCTCTCAAATAAATAAAATCTTAAAATAAAACGCATGTATCCAGTCTCAAAGGATACTTAATAGATTATTCCGTCTATATAAAATTCTAAAAAAATGCAAACCAATCTGAGATTAGTGGTTGCCTGGGATTTTTAATGGTGATAGGAGTGCTGCATCTTGATTGCAGTGGTAATTACATGGCTGTACACAACTGTCTAAACTCACAGAACTTTGCAATTCCAATCAATGCAATTTATTGCATGTGAATTATACCTCAGCATATCTGGTTTTTAGAAAATGCAAAGAGACTCTTGTTTAGCAAATGCTGCTGGCTGTCCCCCACTTGTTTTGCTCTCAGCTTCCTTGGGTCACCGGCAAATCCTCGTGGGTCTGAGTCAACTAAATGGGTGAACCCTGCTTCCCTTGCCAGTGATTGGCTTATGAGGAGCCATGTGACCAAGACCCGGCCAATGAGATGTGAGGGGAGGTCTGCGAAAAGTCCTCCTGGGAAAGGTTCCATACTCCTAGGAGTGGGGAAAAGAGATGGATCCTTTCTGCATCTGGACATGGTTGTATCTGGATGTGATGCCATCCAGCCATCTTGCTACCAGCCCGAGGGTGAAGCTGTTTTGGGAGTAGAGGACTGCAGAGAAGCAGGGCTGAGGACCTGGCTTTCATCTGGAGCCAACCTGTCCCATGGCTTTTCTCATTGGGAGCCTCTTCTAGTTTAAGGCAGGAGTAGCTAAAAAATGGCACAGGAGCCAAATCTGGCCCAATGCCTGTTTCTGTAAATGAACTTGTCTTGGAACATGGCCATGCCCATTCACTTGCATATTGTCTATGGCTGCTTTGGTGCCACAGTGGCAGAGCTGAAAGAATTGGGACAAGGACTGTATGGCCCACAGGCCCTAAAACATTTATGATAATCTGGATCTTTACAGGAAAAAGTCTGGTAACCCCTGGGCTAAGCCCATTTGAGTCAGGATTTTCTGAGACTTGCAGCATAGGCATCTATGTTCTTGGGGCCCTTCCTAGATCCCCTTTAGCTAGGCTGGTGGGCCATCCCTCATGCAGTGAAGGATGACCACTAAAGGCCACTAGCTGCCCCCTGCAGCACAGCTGCCCTCCACCAAACCACTGTTGCTCCAGCCCTCCTCCCCAACTCCCCCACCTAGAGGAGGCAGCCTGTATGCAATGACTGAAATGGGAGTGCAAAGGACCACCCCACCCCTTGCCCGAGGTCAGACCAAGTGTGGCACAATCCACACTCCAGAGCTCCCGGCGAGATCAGGCCAAGACCAGGCTCCAGCTGAGACCACATCCTTCCTTGGCTCCTTCCTCTGCCTTTTCCTGCTGCGCTCTTTCCTGGTATTGAGAGTTCTTTCTCAATGCATCCCATCTACTTGAATCTCTGCCTCAGTCTCTGCTTCTGGGGGACTGACTGAAGGCAGCATCCCACCCAGTCACCTGGGAGGAGCTATGCCCTCATTGGTGTGCTGCTTCCATTATTCTTGACCCCTAGACCACACGACAAGCTGATGGCCAGAGGTGTGTGGTTAGGCCGGCGCACACATGCATATGTATTGTGCATGTATGAACGTGTGTACGTGTGTATGCATAAATTGTTTAGTCAAACAAGGAAGCCATTAAACTGAGGTGGCCTTAATGCCTTAGGAGCCTATGTGAGCAAACCCTAACTGAAACAGTCAAAACAGCCAGTGAGGCTTTCCCAAATAATGCAACCACTTAAGCTATCAAATAATGTCAAATAGTCAATCAAATAATTTCCTTGCTCTGCTCCCACCTCTTCTCTATAAGAGTCTTTCCCCAGCTACAGTTGGTGGAGTGTTCCTAACAATTTTTGGTTTGGTGCTGCCCATTTGAATCAATTTTTGCTCAAATAAATTCTTTAAATTTTTAATATGCCTCAATTTATGTTTTAACAATATGTATTTATTCAAATATAAATGTGTGTATATATATTACATATAAATGATACATGCTCTATATGTAAATTGTGTACCTAAAAATCAATTAATTAAGAATGTTGCCTTTGGATGCCTTTAGGTGGGGCATGAACTCTCTTGTTCTCTCGTTGCTGTGCTCCTTTCTGTCTTTAGCTGGGCTCATCACACATATGCAATAGCTGTTGGCACCCTGAGAGCATTTAAGGTCTCCAGCCCTGTCTTAGGCCAATGTTTGTTGCTTCCTTCCTTGTGAGACACAGAAAAAGTCCCACCTGTTCTAGTTGGTCAGCCTAAGTGCTAGAGGTGGGGTGGGGGTTTCCAGACCACCCCCTCATTTAGAAGACTAAGAATACTTGTGTGTGGCAGAGGTGATGGATGGCCCCTCCCGTGTAGCTCTTAGCTAGGACAGTAGGACTCACCTCGGCCATCTCAATTTTGCCATCTGAGTTCTTATCATACTTCTGCATGAACTCCTTCATCTTCTCCCCAAAGTTGTCACTCTTTGACATCTGAGGAAAGACAAAGGAGGCTGACTGTGCTGCTGGGCCCCACATGAACCATGGATCTCCCACCCACTTGGTGTGGCAGTGGTGCGATTCATTTTGCACCCCAAATCTGATCAGGCTGGGTCAATGCTCTGAGTGGTCAGGGCTGCACTCTTCTCTTTTCCAGGGTCCCTCAAATCCAAGTGATGTCTCCTTTGAGTCTCAGTCACATGAGGATGGTTCACCTGTACCAAGTAATTTGTGTAATTAAATTTGCCCTGTTGCCTTTGAGATGGGATTAAACCACAGCTCTATCAGAAGGGCGAGGAACTTACTCCCATCACTCAGATGTGAGAACTGAGGCCCCAGCAGTCTACCAAGGCAGCTTCTAATACAACCCACTTATTCCAGGACACCCCAGTAGGTACTAGCACTACACCAAACCAACATAAATTGCGTATTTTCTTCTCTCAGGTCTAAAGGCAATCCGTATTTTTCACTCTGATTTTATGCCAGGAGGAATGTGAGGAGACAGTCTTCCAATAGCTGAGAGGTAATTTAAATTATCCACTAGATTATTGTGACTACTACCAAGGCAGAGAACTTGACACGCTCCTTTAGCCCATCATTGCCTACCTTAAATCTAAGGCTCTCCAAGATTGTTAAATCTTAGCCTGTTTTGGGTGCTGCTGAATCACTATATGCATGAACGAGCTCCTCCTCCTCCCTCACCAATGGCGAGTCTACTGGAGCAGCTGGTGCCTCTTCTTGGCTTCTCTGATGACTTCTGCGTGGGTTGTGCACGTCCTTGGTTGGGCCCGGGAAACTACCAATTCTTCAGATGACAGTCTTTTCTGTATCTCTTCTATTGCTTTCTACCTGGGAACTGGTTTCAATTTGCCACTATTTATTCATCAGTATTTATTGCCTTACATTTACAAGTATGCACAGAATGTCCCTAGGCTCTTATCACAAGCGAGGTCATCCAGTTTAGCTTTAACAACAGCCCAGTGACGTGAGTAGCCTGTCCATTTTACACACAAATGCAGGCTGAGGTGAAGCGTCTTCTGAGGTCACCGGCCGGCGTACCTAGAATTGGAACATGTGGCGCCTGCTTCTAAGGCCATATTCCTTCTACCATATGACAGCTGCTCTGAACACCAGTCCTGGACGGTGTCAGTTGAGATTTTTGTTGACAGCCTTGAGAAACACCCATGGTGCCATCTGAGGAAGGGATGACTAAGATTTCAGACTAGAAGCACTTCATAAAAACACATTCCTCCGCCTACCTCATGATCCCAGAATCAGTCTTGAAGCCTGTGTTTTCAGTGATCCAGGCTTCATTATCCTAGTAATGAGGAGTGATGAGGGAACAGTTGATAAACAAACTCATGAATCACCCCCATCGCCTAAGCCCGTGGCTGGACCTCCTCCTTGCTGGGGCAGTCGGTGGAGCTCTGGGCCAGGAGTTCACTGGTGGATTTGTGACTCATCTCCCAAACTGCCCCATGAAGATCTCTTAAGAAGCAGCAGATTGACCAACAGACACGCAGCAGGGGAGAGAGGGGAGACCCCCAAAGGACCAGCGGGAGCTGGGGGGGGGTGTAATGAGTCTGTGTGCATCTGAGAACCAGACGTAGGAATCACAATAAACTAGCTCCGATTACCTTAGCTTTTCAGTATTTCAGACAGTCCTCTAAAGGCTTTAGTGTATTAAGAGCGCCAGGTTGTGACTACAGGCCCCACAGTGACCTGACCCTGCCATTAAGGGGCTGGGACGTGATTTGGAGTCGCTGCAGGCAGGCTAAGAAAGGCAGCTGGACACCTCCACGAACGAGGCCAGTCAGTACTATCTGGTTCAGATACTGGTTTGGAGCAATCCTGTTCTCTAGCTCCTTGCTGAGGATCCCAGACTGTTGGTCTAGAACAGTGGTTCTCTGGTGGGGATCATTCTGTGCCCCACACCAGAGACATTTGGTAATTTCTTGAAACATTTTTCATTGTCACAACTTGGAGGGGATGCTACTGGCATCTCATGGGGAGAACCAGTGATGCTGCTAAGCATCTTACATGCCCCCCACAACGAAGAATTATCCAGTCCTGTCAATAGTCCAAGGCTAAGAAACTCTGGTCCAGAATAAAGACACTTGAAACCCCTGAGGTATCCAATCGAGTCATGATCCCCCTGAGAATCTTAGCTAGGCTCTGGACTATTCCTTAGGGGAAAAAAATCTTTCATACGCACATATACAAAGATTCGCAGTTGGTGGGGTGGGGGAGCTCAGGAACCCCTGGTATCCTTTCAATGAATACCCCTCAATCCTAGACACCCAAGTTTTCTTTTTAAGGGATTATTCCAATTAAAAACATCCTTACAAATAAAAGAAAAACTTGGAAGGTCAAAGACCAGAGGTGTCAGGCTGGCTTATGCAATGCATAACTTGGGACAGACAATGCTGACCAAAGCCATGATCAGGATGATAGAAAAATCAAACAATGGGAAAGAGTACTGGGCTTACCATGCCAGAGCCTTTTCTTGCCTTCTCCAGCTCTTGGAAAAAATTTTCTAGCTCTTTACCTTCAATATATCCATTTCCTGTGAAGAAAGCAAAATAAAAAAGCAATTGACCTTGGAGCTAAATAGTAAGACTGATGGGGGGTAGGGGGGTGGGGAAGTCATGGCTTCAGGGAGGACTTCTCATTGGCTAACCAGCAGGTGTCTGGGTTAGCCTTGGACTGTGTGGTGTTAGGGATGGGGGTCCTGCTCTCAGAGTGTTCTCAACTGTGCAGTTGCAAGAACATCCATGTGTCTTTGGGGTATACATTCAGTAGCCAGAGAACACTGGGACCAGCATCTGGGCCAAGCTGGTAGAAGTGGACCAAGCCGGGAACTGTCTGTAACTGGCTGGGCAAGCCCCAGGAGCTAGGATCCAACGGGGACAACAGGTCATCAGCATCCGGGTTTGTTGGCAAGTGGCAGGCCTGGTTACAGGGGTGAATAAGGTCCCAGACAGAATTTGGGTCTCTGGAGTGGGAGGGTCTATGGAATTGAAAAGGGTCCCCTCTGCTCCCTACCAAACACATGTCCACCCAGAACCTCAGAATGGGACCTTGCTTGGAAACAGGGGAATGAGTTAAGACAAGCCATACTCGATTAGGGTAGGCCCTAGGCTAATGACTTGTGTATTTTTTTTTCTTAGTTTTATTTATTCATGAGAAACAGAGAGAGAGAGAGGCAGAGACATAGGCAGAGGGAGAAGCAGGCTCCCTGTGGGGAGCCCGAACCGGGACTTGATCCCAGGACCCCAGGATCATGACCTGAGCGAAAGGCAGCAGCTCAACCACTGAGCCACCGAGGGGGCCCGACTTGTGTCCTTTTAAGAAGGCCATGTGAAGACAGAGGGAGACACACAGGGAAGGAAGACTATGGAAAGACAAAGACTGGAGTGATGTAGCTCCAAGCTGAGGAACACCACGGATTGGTGGCAGCCACCAGGAACTAGGAGAGAGCCACAGAAGGATTGTCCCTGAGAGCCTCCACAAGGAAGCCAGGCCGCTGACACTTTAATTTTGGAATTTCAGTTTCCAGAACTGTAAGAGAAAAAAAAATTCCATTGTTTTAAGCCACCCAGTCTGTGGCATTTGTTACAACAGCTCTGGGACACTAACCCAGAAGGGAAGAGAAAGGGCATCTATCCTTCGGGATGGGGGCACCCAAGAGAGTCAGCTCCAGGGATTCTATGTAGGGGAGGCGATGGCTGCTGGTAATGGGGAGGGAGGCTGTGGGGTCTGTGAATGGAGTCAAAGCCTGTTCCCCGTGTGACTTTGGGAACGTCATTTAACCCATGTCAGCTGCAAAATGAGTTACTACAATTAAGTGGGATTTTGTGTGTAAAGCCTATGAAGCCACCCATTATGCGTGGACTGTAAACGTTGCTATTCTAGTTCAATGACCAGAACCTGTCATTGGAAATGGATCAAATCTGAGTGAACACTGCAGTTACCAGGACCAGGCCCCAAGGTCAGTGCCTGACTTTTAAGATCACATAAGTGGGGAGAGGCCTTTTAGGTTGTCAAGTCTTGAACCCAGATGGCCTAGAGCCTGGGTGAGCTGAGTCCATGGCTAAGGTCACTCATCTCTGCTGTGATTGCGAGGAGGCATCTGTGGGCGGGAAGTCAGGCCAAAGGCAGTGCTCTCCACACTCCCCCAAATTGGAATCTCCTAGGATCTTAAAAAAAAACATATATGGATGTCTGGCTCCCACCCCCCAGACATGCTGATGTAATTGGTTTGGGGTGTGAAGGAAACATCATGGTCTTTTTTTAAAAGCTCCCCAGGTGATTTCAATGTGCAGGAAGTTTGGAAGCCACTGGCCTCAAGTCAAGTTTCAAATCTGATGTACAACAATGGAGCAAAGTTCCTAGAGAGAATAGTCAATCGGTAGCTTTCCTCAAGGGCCAATGGGATTACCAACAAAACAAACAAAATGAAAAAAAGGAGGGATGCCCGGGTGGCTCAGCGGTTAAGCATCTGCCTTCAGCTCAGGGCGTGATCCTGGGATCTTGAGTCCCACATCGGGTTCCTTGCACAGAGCCTGCTTCTCCCTCTGTGTTTCTGCCTCTCTCTCTGTGTCTCTCATGAATAAGTAAATAAAGTCTTAAAGAAAATGAAAAAGGAGTATTTAACTTGGCCTTTGGGAGTGGGATGGGGTGACTGGGGGTTCTTCTCACCCTCTCCCCACCTCATCCCCTTAGAATTTAGATTCCCCATAACTAACCCTAGAGGCGCCCCCTAGTGGAGAAGCTGCCACACTAAGCATTGCGTGGAGAGAATCCCGTTGAGATAAATGATGTATTTTTGTCTGCAGAGAAAAGATGTGATTGTATCTCGGGAGCGGGGAAAGGAGACTTGAGCTCCCTTTTTCCCTGGCCTAGAGTGGTCATCGTTCTTGGTGAAATTTCACGAGCGTGTGTCTCCTGGCCTGTGAGGCCCGCTGGAGAGGGGGTGTCGGGAAGAGCCAAGGGCTTTTTAGGCAAAAGGCAGTCTAGTGGATGATGCCTCTGGGCTGAAGGAACAACTAATTTTTCTCTTCTCGTCGCTCCCCGCAATGATCTGGGAGGATGGGTTCGAGGGAGGGCCCACTCAGCTCTGACGGGCACCCCCCCCCCACCAGCGTGGGTCCTGCTTGCCACTAGTCTGCTGGGGGGCACCCGCTCTAGGGGAGGTGGGGCGGGTTGCTGACACTTCTGCAGAGGCACCCGCACCCAGTTCTTCTCCTGCCTCTATTACTCGCTGGTTCGCTTGGGGATGTCGCCTCTCCAGATCTGTTTCCTCACCTATAAAACAGGGATAATGACGGTGCCTTCCTCATGCGGTCAGCAGCGTGGAGCGTGCTGGCCCCTACTGAGCCTCCAGGATGCCAGCGGTCATTACCACCGCGGCTCGTGTTTCTGCCAACTGCCCAGGCTGGGGGACACCTTGGCCTTGGGCTCTGGCTGTAGGCTGGGAGGCTCTGGGGTGCAGAGGGAGGCCAGAGCAGGTGAGGCCGGCACCGAGCCAGGTCCCTTTGAGCAGTGTGAACGGGAAGAAGACAAGCACAGAAGTATGGGACCCACCTTCTCCTTGGGGTTTCTCTGAAACTTACGAAGAATAAATGTATTTGTTTATTCTTGTTCTAGAAAGGTTTAAGGTGGTCTAATGACCTCCAGAACCAGATAATCAGCCAGCGTCTTGCCCAGCAGGAGCGTACGGAAGCTTGTGAACGGCAGTAACGCCTCACAGACACAACACTTTTAATTTTCCAGAGCACATTCGCTCCTTTCTTTGCTTCAGCAGATAATGTGAGGCCTCACTACGTGGAGGGCCCTGTGTAGGTTGCACGGTGGGGATAGGAAAATGTAGGAGATTGAGCTCCTGTCTTCCAAGCTGCCGCAATCCTGCCACACACAGGATCACAGTATGGCAGTGTTGCATCCTCTTCTTGTGACAAAGAAATCTGAGGCACAGAGAATGTAAGCAATCTGTTCCAGAACACACAGCAAGGCAGGACCAGAACTGGAGTGTCCTAATTCCTGATCTAGGTTTCATTCATTCATTCATTCATTCATTCAACATTTATTGAGCATCCACTTTGTGCCTGCTGTACGCTAGGCACCAGGGGTGTAAAAGTGAGCGAGACAAGGTCTGCCAGGATGGGGCTTATGATCTAATTGGGTGGGGATGGGGCAGGGGCAGACAGACAGCAAGGGAGAGGAAAAATGATGTAATAGAACAGAGAGGGACAGCCAGGGTTACTTGATGGGGTAGGTGGTGGGCAGGGAAGGCCTGAGAAGCCCCAGCTATCAGGTGGAGAAGGAGAAAGAGAGGCATATAACCAGAGCCTGGGAGGGTGCCACAATAGAAAGAAATCCCCTCCCCGAATGCACTTGGCACAACCTGGCAGCAGGAGGGTCCCATAGGCTGGCCAGCCCCTCGCACCCTGCTAGGAATCCCCCTACTGCTTCCCCTCTGTACCCCCAACAAAGGGACGAACGGTGGCTCAAATCAACAAGCCTAGATTGTTGGAAGTAAACAACAGTTCCACTTTGTGCCCGGTGCTCAGGGAGCTCTAGACATGTTCTAGATGTGGGCTTATTCCCAGGAGCATTCAATGGTCTAGTGGGGCGAGGCTGTCAAACAAGAATTGCCAGGATCTACCAGCAGACGGCAGAGGGAGAGGAGCAGGGGGTCGGTTAGGGAAGCAGGGGCTGTGCGGCCCGGGAGGGGCATCCTCCATCACTGGGGGGTAAAGGCCTTTGCTACTTGGTCCCCCTCAGAGCAGCCCCCATCCATCACCCAGGCGGCAGCTGCTCTCCCCGGTCCGGGGTGGAGAATGGGTTGACCTACATCCTCCCAAGGCCGACTTCAGCACTAGACAAACGGATTGCTTTCTCTATGACCCTCTTATCAGGGCGTGGGGTGACTGGCCACCAAGCAAACCTCATGTGGATGGGCATTGATAAGAATGTGGTTACCATAGCAACCGCCACTCCTTACCTTCCTAACAAGCCACATCTCGTGAACATTAGGAAGAGGGGGCGGGGTGGGAGTCAGGGACCCTGCATCTTTTCTTACTGGCCTCTTGCTACCATGCCTCACCACCACTGTGCCTCAGTTTCTCCCACTTTAAACTGAGACAAGACTTCTTGGGGGGCACCTTGGTGGCTCAGTCAGTTAAGCGTCTGCCTTCGGCTCAGGGCATGATCCCGAGGTCCTGGGATCGAGCCCCTTATGCAGGCTCCATGTCCGCAGGGAGTCTGCTTATCCCTCTCCGCCTGCTCCTCCCCACCTCCACTTGTCCTACGCACTCGCTCTCAGATAAACAAATAAAATCTTAAAAAGAGACACTTCTTTACAATTAAGCTGATTACAGACACCTGGAAAGCCTTGACCAAAGAAAGGCCGCTGTGCTCCACGTTGGAAAGAGGGCTACTTGTTTCTCACTGAGGTTTGTGTGTACAGATTTTCTAAGAGCTGGACAGGTAGGAGTAAGGTGTAATTCCGCCACCAGCTCTGTGACTGTCCATGTGACGTCGAGCAAGTCAGCATCTCTGAGC